GAATGGTGGCATACTGCAACACGGCACGACACGACAAAGCACAGTGATGGGAGGCTCAGTCGGCTAGATTGAATGTCGCCAACAGACCAACATTGGCCGACTGTGATTCTGTACTCTAGTGAAAATTTCACTACTGGCAACTTTATCGTCACAATATAACACCTTTATCAGGCTATTCCTCTATTTAAAGACCCAGAGTGCCCTTGACTGACTGACCGACTCACGATAATTCTACCCTCTAATGTATTTGTACAATCAGCTTCCCTTTTGTTTCTCTACAAATGCTAAATGCAAAATAATTTTGTTTTATCCCTTTGTGGGAATGATTGGCATGCGTTTCTTTGTCTTGCAACACTGCCCAAAACACTTTGATGACAACAAAAGATAATAATGGAGGATTCGCTGTCGTAGACAAGCCATATTTAACTCACCACCCGGAAGTGTTTCGACCTCAATGTCGATAGTTTTATAGGCGCAGTTGTGGGTGGTGGCGGAGCAGGCGACAGCATAGGCGATGTAGGCAGTGTTGGGCACCAGTCCTGTGACTGTGCAATTGTTTGCTGCCTCCAGTTGCTTAACCGAGCAATGGCTGACTATAGAGTTGGTTTTCTGCCCTTGAACCGTAACTGTTATATTATCCAATGCACAAGCCTCCATGGATTGCGGTGTCCAGGTGAAACTCATGTTGGTTGATGTCCTCTGCTGCATTTGGAAACCGGAGACAGCTTGAAAAGGCCAAAATAGTATAATTCATCTAATGCAAACACACCAAATACTTTTATTGCAAGGTGAAATAACTTCAGGAAGCTTCTCTGCATTCTATCCTTCAACTTTCCCTATTTTCAAAGAAATTTATGCACCCAGAAATAAAAGCCTTTTCTTCCCACCTATCTATTGCAGGTAGAGTGTGATAATGAAATCATGTGACGCCATGAGAGCCGGTGACAACTTGGTGTTGGAAGAAGCAACTCTTAAGTAATTATGCGTGCGGCAGTACCAATTGTTTCATCCCTCATGCTAACTATCACAAAAGATTGTCACAGATGTATTGATATCATGATATTATTCATCCTAATCAGGAAGACACTATCCTTCTGAACGTGACGGATCTAACGTGGGGCGAATCATCACCAAAATATCGGTAAAAACGGAAGTGTCTAAATCACGATGCACTTACTTCCAGGCAGAGTATTCTCCTTCCCTGTTGTCTTCAAACTACAGTCATCATCACGAGCGCAAGTCTGTACTGAGATATGATAGGGCATACAGGGCGAGAGATGCCTAAATGTACAGTGCAGACGTGCCTTACTGACCCTGGAGGGTGTGCAGCTAGTCTCTCCTCCCAGAGTGTCCACAGCCACTGCTCGATAGCCTGTAATTGGCTCTGTGGTAGGTTGGGGGCTATTCCATGATGCGTAGATCGTGGTGTCTGTGGGACTACCCATCTGCAAATCTAGGGGAGCTGAAACAAGACCAACTTTAGCATGTAATCCTTCACCCAGTTATCTGAAATTTTTGTGTGGTAAATGTGAGGAGCTTCAATGTCCTTGCAATAACTCATTTATAGGTGAAAAGGAAACAAATACTAAAAAAGGATCCCTTAGAAAGTGAAATCCACATCTTTTCTTGCATCATATGTACTTATTGTTTCCTACAATGGGCTTTGCCTGTTGCCGAAGTCTGACCAAGGTTGTGATATCGGTACCCTATGAAATTGTACTGTACTGCGATGTAGCAGAAGGAATTGTCTTTTGATATATGGATCAGGGTTCGGCTCATGCTACTTATATTGCTGGCCTCTCAATCCCTCCAGATAGGCATGTCTTAACGTCTTTGGAGAAAAGGAGAGCAACGAACAACTTCAAATTTGTCTACTGCGTAACACTTCGAAATTAATGGAGAGAACATATATGTCGTGGATAGGCTAACATGCGCAAATTCAGCACAGAAAAAGTTGTCGAAGAACAGGCAAAGAAATTGAGACGTCTTGAAGGACAAGTCGACGATACAGAGATTTGTCGTAGTAAATTACAAAAGAGAAGAAATGTCGGAAAGCAGCAAAGTGCACACATTTTGTGTTGTTTATTATGCTTAACCATTCTATTTTAGACCAAAATTCTTTGTAAAATGGCACCGATGTCGGAATTCAATACGAAGAGTAGCATAAATGAGAAGAGTTAACTCACGCAAGGGTTTAGTGAAGGCCACTAGATCTGACTGCAAACTGCAAAGGCGATGCTTGCAGCAAGTCACGAGGGACGCTTCTATTTTACTGTTTGCCGGCAACCCATTCACTTGGCATCTTGCCTTCGTGGCATCACACGCAAATTTCTCTTCCCTGCCTTTTAACATTAGTGTATAATTGAAGTGTTCACGATCTCCTCCATAAGGCGTGAAATGAAAATCTAAGGAAGTTGCAGTACGATCAGCGATGGTGAAGGGTAATGGATCTGCAAAGGAAAAGATGCAAAATGCGCTTTTGTAATGGCAATCAAAACAACTACGGGACATTTCGATAATCCTCTGGAAATACGTAGTGAATGCCACGATGACCGTTTCTCCTCACCACCCTTGTCTTTCCACATCACTGGAATGGGGCACTAATCGCACCTAACCGAATTCTCTGTCGATTTCGGTCTCGCTAGGCAGGTTATATCACCAGCGGATAAAAGGTGATTAAGAAAGGCACAAAAAATGATGTATTTAATGCTGCCTGTTTTAATAATGAAGGAGTGATGGCACGTGCTGTTGGTCAAGTAATAGGGTGCTATGCACTGGATATAATAAAGGAAGTAGCAGTGAGAGCGAGGCGGTAAAAGCCAGACCTGAGGGATTCAATTTGTCTTGCTGGTCTTTTCGTTTTAGCAAATGGACTGGATGTGCTCCAGGCTGCTTCAATAATGACACTTGGCTTTTCGAACTCATAAGATTGGAGAAGAACGCCATGACTCACAGTGTCTGCAAGGGTTTCATTTGCCCATGTCCTGCAGACCAGCTACCGAGTTGTCACCAGGTGCGGTATTTTGTTAATTACATCTTTATGCTCGCACTTCTCTTTTGACCATAGTACTTCGTCATTGTTGCCATTACTACTGTTGAATGAAATCAATGCAGCAATATTTTCATGTGGCGCTGCAATGCAGTGAAGAATGGGATCCAGAATTATTGAAACTATTCTGCAGATGTGAGGACAGGTATCTACTACTCAGTCAGTCATCCAGTGGCGACAAGACATTAGATTCTCAGAGGTCACCAATAACTTGGTTTTTCTTCATTACTTGTAGATGACACTTAGCGTGTTAGCTACCTCGAAGCTCACAAACTAGAAAAGTCAATGGAGTCTTACAAGCTAAGCATATGGAGGTGCTGTACCCTGAATGCAAAAAGTTCTTGCACATTGTTACTGCGGAATACGTGGGACTTAAATCCCGATCCATGCTCAATACAACATAAAGCCAAAATGGGTAGAGAGAATACCTAGGAGGTAGTAATGGTAATGCGATAAAACATGCAC